GAGCTTCCCACAACCACTCCCTTTAACCATCTGCACTGTCCTCTCCCCACCTTGGACATTCCTGGTACGCCGAAACTTCCAGCCATCATCTCCAAGCCGCCTCTGCCTCCCAGCCCGCATCCATCTCCACAGCCTCCCACTCCCCAGTTCCTGCCCCCCGCCCCAGCCCCACCGGCTGCCTGTTGCATAACGGCTCCCCCAGCCCCGTCCCGCCGGGTCGCCGGCCGGCTCCCGCACGCAGGAGCGCCCCTTCGGCCCGGCCCCGGCTCCCCCGCGCGACGCGCCCGGCGAGTCCCCGCGGAGCGGCTCGTCCCGGGGTTCTCCTGCCCGGCGGGGCGGGGCGGGGCGCGCTCCCCGCCGGCGTCCGCGAGCCGGCGCCGGGTCCTAAGTTGGGTAGCAAACCCCGAGGGCCGAGAGTGCCCGCTCCGGCCGCGCGGCCCCGAGCACCCCGCAGCACCGGCCAATCACCGCCGCCATCCTCCCGCTGGGGTGATGTCTTCAGGTGTCCGGGGAGAGCTCTGCGTACTTCCAGCCCCGCTCCCGCGCCGGGAGCGGTCGGCCCTCGGAGCCCCCCGGCGCCGGCCCCCGGGGCCCAGGGGCGACTGAGGCAGGCCCGGGGGGCGGCAGCCGGTGGCTCGGAGGCGTGGGCCTGCGGGGCTGGCGGCGCGCGGCCAAGGATGGGCAGCGACAGGGACGGAGGCGGCCGAGGCCTCGGCGGGGGAGCGACGCGGAGGCCTCGGCAGGGGCCGCGGCGCCCCCGGCCGAGAGAGTGGGGCTGTGGGGCGTCGCAGCCGACAGCCTGACGCGGGGCGGGGGTCGCCGGCTGCCTCGGGGACCGCGCGGGGCGGGGGCGGCCTCTGCCCTCTAGGATCCCCTCCCCGGCCCGCCCGCCGGTTCGTCCGCCTCACCTTCAGGACCCGGATCCCTCCCGGCTGGCGGATCGCGGGCGCCTCAGGCGGCTCCGGGGGCTCCAGCGGGCCCGCGGGCCCCGGCTCCACCTCCCCCATCGGCGGCCGAGGCTTCACAGGGACGCCGGGCCGGCGCGACGGCGCGCGGAGCTTCGGCGGCGCGCGCGAGCAGCCGGCGGCCCCGACACGCCGAGTGTCTGCGGGGGAGACAGAGAAGAGATCTTCTCATCCGCTAGGGCGCTCCCTGTATCTTGACAATGGCCCAGAGGTGGGCTGAACTGAGAGTCAAC